AAGAAAAACGCCGCTCCCCATTCTCCACGGCTGCACCTCCATCCCCTCCCTCCCTGTCGCCTCGATCTCCCTCGCCCCGCTCTCCGTCTCGTCGGCCGGCGGTGGCTCTGGCCGGCGGGGCAAAGCCACCTGAATCATGGCCAAGTCTGGTGCCCGTAAGGAGGCGGCACCAGCCCGGTCATCGGCGACCTCGCCGCCGACGCAGCACGTCCCCGGCGCCCCGGCAGGCTCGTGCGGCAGCCGCTCTTCTACCCCGGCGCTCCGACTAGCTCGTCCACCAGTCCGTCGACACCGCCGCACCTGTACCCCCCTCTCATGGAATCCTCTACTGCAAACCCTACATGGTATAAATTTCTGCTTTTAATTCCATCTTCGGCAATTGCAGTTTTTTTAGATCGAATTTGCAGCATTAGGTAATTTCTATTTTGTGTTCAGCGTCTAGAATACCTGACTCAGCGTGTGTTGTTGTTCAGCAGTAGGTAATTTTTGTACTGGCAAGTCTTTACTAACATCTAAGTCTGAATTTGTACATCTAAGTCTGAATTTGTAAGTCTGATTCGGCGTGTGTAGGTGTAGCCTGAATTACCTAAACAGTGAGCTTCACTTGACATCTTTTTGTTTTTGCTTGCTTCATTGAACAAGTGATATATCACATCTTTTTGTTGGAAAGAAGCTACCGATAAGAAGTGACAAAAGTGTTTGCTGATAGAGAGATGAGGTGTTGTACAAAATTTCATTGCTACTGTACTATGCTCATGACTTCTGATATTTGTAACAGGAGGCCAATGTACACCCCTGCACCTGAAGGCTTGCTAAGTTTTGGACAATTCCCTCCAATGCATCCTTATAATTTTCGACCTCCGCCAATGCACCACCCTGAACAAGGACACAAAAATATGGAGAATTTGCATTTTGTTGGGGCTTCCCCACACGATTCCTTTTCAACACCACCGCCACCACTGCACCCTAAAGTTGCATCTCGGTCTGCTCCCGCCAAAGTGGATTCTACTTCCTCCAAAAGGAAGAAGCGGAAGGTCACCAATGTAGATGACGATGAATTGGGAGAAAGGACCGCATATCGTCTGCCCTATTTACCCGAGGAACATGAAAGACTGGTAAGTATAATCATTGCTCAAATCCATATTACGTGCATGTAATTTCTTGTTGCTTGTTGGGCTCAACTAAATTAAATGGGCGCAATGTAGGCAGGCGCTTGGCTGGAGTGTTCACTCGATCCCATCAATGGGAACAGAAAGAAGAATGAGCGGTTCTGGGATGACATTGCTGCTCTATACAACATTGCTGCTCTATACAACAGTGCCACGCAAAGTAACCGAAAGAGAGATCGGGATCAGTTGAAGATGGAGTGGCAAAGGACCAAGAAAAGGCTCGCCGCTTTCCATGGTGAGTGGATTGACGTAATTGGAGTGTATCGTAGTGGTTGCAGCCAACATGACCTGGAAAAAATGGCTTTGGAGAAGTATGAACAAAACTATCACCAGCCTTTCCAACATTTAACTATGTGGGCAAAACTCAAGGATGATGGTAAATGGCTAGCCTCTTACAGAAACATGACGGAAAAAGTAGGGAACAGAACATCTGTGGAGACCAATCTCACACCAAATATGATTAACTTGGAGGCCGAGGAGCGCCCATCAGCTGGCCGTGATAAGGCTAAGGTTGAACGTGCTGGTAAAGGCAAGTCAGGAGGGCTCTCACAAGAGCTTGGAGAAAGATTGGAAAAATTCATCGAGGTTAACAATCAATCAATGGAGGACCGTCAAAAGGTGATAGACAGCCAGGTGATTCTATCAAATCAACAGCTTGAGACTGCGAAGATCAACAACAAAACAAAATTGTTGGATGTTTACTCCAAAATGCTTTTAGCGGACACATCTAAGATGGATGACGCTGAAAAGGCTCGACTTGCTAAGGCTTTGAGTAAAATGGAGCCCATGTTATTTCCTGAAGGAGATTCAGGTATTTTTATAGTTTGTCTCTTAATCGGTTAATTTTTGTTGTGAACCTGAATCATACCATTCGGATCAGCTACTGACTATTATTATTTGTCTACTGTGTGGCAAGTTGATTGAAGGGAAAGAAGCGATGCACTATGAAGCATATCAGAGGATAGGTTGTTCAGCTACATTCAGTCAGTTAATGGTGTGAACTAGGTGGATCCTTAATTGTGTGAACTTGATAATTGTCCTGCTGCATTTTGTCTCGGTCAGTTTATTGTGTGAACCTGATGGATTGTTCAACACTTTTGTTGTCCCGGTCAGTTTATTGTGTGAACCTGATGGATTATTATTGTGTGAACTTGATGGATTGTTATTGTGAACATATTGGATTTTTAATTGTGCACCTGATGGACCGATCAGCCACATATAGATCACAAAGTTAAAGTACTACTATAGATCCCACAAAACAATAAATGGCAACCTCCATGTTACTACCTTTATGTTACTACCCACTATGGAGGTACTCCGTTCGGATTTAGATGTCGCGACTACTTTTTTGCGAAAACGCCCTCCATCTATTTCCGACCGAACCCGCGGTCCTCGCCCTTACTTTCTTCTCCGCCTGACCGTTGCGGTCCGCT